TCAAGAAAAAGCTTTAGTATGTTTGTCTGAGTTGTAGGTTAACCTATGTACTCTTTCCACAGAATGCCATTTTAATTGAAAGATAAATTATGGTTATTCAGACTTTGTTATTTGATGTTTTCTCAAAAGTTAACAAAGTAAACTAACTTAAGAAATTAAATCACAGTATTTGTTGTCAATAATTAAATTTAAGCCATCAAGCAAAAATTAGAACTGTGAAAAACTTGTATGTATGACCAAAAGCTTGACAGTCTCTGATGTTAAAATGTTTTCTAATAATAGGTGATGATAATAACAAATGTGATTTTTTGATGTCATATAATAAAATGCATTGACATTTGGAAGATTCAAATAACTCACTGAAGGAATTTTTTTTCCAGATGACCAATGTATAATGTTAAAAAATCATTCATTAGTAAAGGATCCTTAAAAATGCAAGATAGGCCAAGAATTTTAATATAACAGAGAAAAAGTTCATTAATATAGTTTCAGATTCCACATTGCAAATAAATTTTAAGTAATTATCACTTGAGAAATTTTGTTTGGTATTAAAGAACAATACACAAAATTGTCTGAAAAGGCTAGAAAATATTACCCTTTTTGCTAACTAACTACATGTATGTTTGAAACTGGATTTCTTTTCATCTACATTACCGAAAACAATATTCCACAACAGAGTTAGTGAAGAAAATGTAAAATAATATCATTCTTATAGCTGAAATTTTTTGTTTTAGAAAATACATCTTGATAAAAGTCATTATTTATGTTAGCATACAATGGGTCTACTTCTGAAATAAAATAGTAAATAAGTATTCAAAAATTGCTTTAATTTCAAATGTAGAGAAAACTAGTAAATACTGCCTAAACATAAACAAATGTTTTCTTTGGGGGTCCTCAGTAATTTTTAAGAGTGCAAAGATTGTTGAGAGCAACAACAAAAACTTAAAAATCACTGTGCCAGAACAACTAAATCTTGAAATTCCGTATTTTATTCAAATTTCACTTCTGATATAAATTTGTGTTTCTATTGTTCCTGTTTCCTGAGCCAAAGCAATTATTTTTCTACTCTTAAGCAGCACTTTAGACTTACTTTAATTAATTAACTTATTCATTTATTTGAGACAGAGTTTCACTCTGTCACCTGGGCTGGAGTGCAGTGGCACTATTCATGGCTCACTGTAGCCTCTACCTCCCAGGCTTAAGCCAACCCCCCCATCCCTGCTCAGCATTCCAAGTAGTGAGGACTACAGGTGCATGTCACCCATGACTAATGTTTGTACTTTTGGTAGAGACCGGGTTTTACCATGTTGCCCAGGCTCGTCTCAAATTCCTGGGCTCAAGTAATCCTCCTGCTTCAGCCTCCCACAGTGCTAGGATTACAGGTGTGAGCCACTGTGCCTAGCCTTCAGAGTTAACTTCAGTAAGCACTCCCATATCACTTTATTTGTACAGTTTGACTACAATTTGTTATGGCTTCTAATGTCCATCTATTACATTTCCTATTAGAAGGTAAACTTCATAAGGGCAAATCTATGTCTGATTTCCCTTTGCATTCCCCCATATGTCTATCACAGTTGTGGCACTAAAAAAATATTAGCTGAATGAACACATGAAAATGAACAAATAATATGCATTGGCAGGACAACTAATATTTGGTACTTGGTTATTAATCTTCCCTATATTTCATCACCACATGCTGATTCAGGATGGAACACACATCACACTGGTTCTTCCATCACATGTTTCTCTTCTTAAGTATAACAAATTCTGAATTGTACTAGTACCAGATTCATTTCTCAAATTAATCAGAAGAAAAAACACAAGTGCCTGAGTCTCTGGGAAACCAGCCAATATCTAAGGAATCTATAATTTTAGTCACTGTAGATAATATGTGAGAGAAATATAAAGTTAGAAAAGGGGAAAAGGCAATCTTGACTACTTGCAATCACATATAATATTTTATCTTCTAAATGTGTATTTTTAATGAGAACTTAAGTTCCTGTTAACTGCAGGTTATTAAGTTCTGTTAACTACAGCTTATTAATAAGGTTATTATTAACCCTTCATGGGGGGTTATGGACATACTTAAATGAAAAATGAAGGGTATCAATAAACACTGAGAGACAGTTCAATGGGGTTGACGTGTCATCTTACAGAAGAAATTAAATGTATCCCCTCCTTCATTTAATGAATATATTGAAATTCTTTCTTTTTATGACCTGAATTTAGTTTTTAGATGGAAAACAAACAAAATCAAACTCCTAGTGAGAGAAAGTTCATTTGAGAATTCTGAGTTTATGAAATTTGTGTTTTCCATTCAATAAAAAACATAACAGTTCTAATTAATTTCTTCAATCATATGCCAGCAACTGAGTATTTGAGTACATTTTAGGATTGCAATAACCAGTGAAAGGTACTCCATCACATTACGGAATTATTTCCTGGACATTAGCTCTTTGATGCATTCTTTAAATTGGATAAAAAGTTATTTTCTTTATACAAATCCAGTATGTTAATATCTGGGTTATATGTTTGCTGCAGGGTTTTATCATAGAGGAAGGATAGGTAGAGCCTACAATACTTGCAATGTTAAGAAAAACAAACAAGCACACCCTATTGCAGAAGTAAGGGGAAAGGTACATAATGCCTAGAGTTGAATGGTCTGAGGAAAGAAATGGAGGTTAAACAGAAGTGGGTGACATTGTCAGGGCTAACATTTACAGAGCATGAAGGAAATGGAAGCACATGAAACTGGAAAATCAAACTAAATGGCTTTTCCTTTCTGCTGTAAAAAGTTGTTTTCAATACTATAGTATTTGAGGACATGTGAAAAGATTGTAAAGAAAATATGTTCAAATATCTGTTTTAAAAAATGCATATTCTCAATTATAAGGAGGATATTAAGAGAGACAGTATTTTTGTGCACAACAGCTTTGGACCACCCAAAAGGAAGCCTCTGACATGCAGAACATAAAAGTGATTCATCATTAATTCATTTAATGCACAGTCGTTCACAAATAGTTTGACACTTTTATTCCTCTGAAATTGAATTTTACAACATATTGTTGATAGGTCTTTGTGTCTCTAGAGAGAAAAGACACACAATTTTTCCCTGAAATACATCTTCACTCCAAAGTGGTGCTTATGGAATCGCTAGACATACGTGTAGATTGTAACATTTGAATAGTTCTTAGAGATTATTTGTTACTATAAAGCACCATGGACCCAAACAAAGAAAAAACAAATGTTAAACTATGAGGAAAAGTAAAGTATTGACACCAAAAATGCTCTTGGGTAAAGCAGCTGGTCATGATTGCCTGTGGTCAGAGGTGGTTATTGAATTGAAAACTTCCATTTGTGTTTTCTCCATTTTTCTCCACCCAGCAGCCAGTGTGACCCTTTAGGCCAGTGAATTTGACCATGTTATTCTCCTCTTTAAAAGCACTGATCCTTTCCTGTACCTCTGAAGATAAATATAAAATATTAACATGGCTTGCATGCTTTCCTTGATCCAAACTGCCCATGGTGCAGTCTATTTCTCATCTCATTCTTTGGTCTTTGAAAAATGTCCTCAAAACTGCCTCAAAGCCATGAGGAACACATCATTCTCTCTTTTAGAAGTCTCCTCTTGATCTTCTGCATCTGGAATACTTCCCATTTGCTCTTCAAGTTTCAGCTTAAAGGTAATTTCCTGAGAGAAAAATTCCCCAATCTAAATTAGGTCACCCAAGTTAGCTTGTTTCATAATACCCTTACATATTCTTTTATATTATTTATCAAAATCTATAATTATATATTTAGTCATGCATTTAAATGCATTTCTCCACTCTACTGAAAGCTCCTTGAAGAAAATGAATACATCTACTTGGTTCCTCATGTAGGGAGAGGAGCATGCAGACCAGTGACTGACACATAGCAAGCACTCAAAATGTCCTTTTTGATTGAATAAGAATAGACTTCCAGATAATCATAGTGTACATTATTAGTTTTTAACTTACCTTTCTAGTGAAATCTATAAACAAGATAAGAATTGGCAAAATTTTTTTAATTGACCCGTTTTAATTATTTAAAAACAAAAAAACATATCAAATTTCCTTTACCATCTACAGTTCAGTTAAATCCAAACACTCTAAGACCAAACAGAAGCGGGGATGACAATGAGACACTGAAGACACACGAAGGTGAATGCTGAGGACCATCAGATTCCCAGCAGGAGGTCACAGCCTTTCATTCAAACACTCCAATGCTTTTCATTTCAGTTTGTTAAAGTACGTATTTTATAGGAAGTTCTTTACGGTAACTTCATGTCAGACACCAGGTTTCTTCAATGTAGTACACAGCTCCATGAAATTTTGTGTTTCCATCCAGTTGACAGGAATAAAAAGGAATTTTTAGTTTTCTTTTTTTGGGCCATAGAGACATAAAATGGTCAGATTCCTTTAGGAATAAATGAGGAAAAAGAAAGAAAAAATCTGGACTGTGCTGGTGCTGGTGTCTACTCATCTTTCTGAGAGTGTGACTACAAAAGTGTCACACTTAGGCCACTACAATGATTAGTACTAGTAATCTTTTCTTTCAGATGATAAAAAGGAAAACACCCAATGGATATAAAAATGGTCAAAGGTTTTTTTAACGCAGGTCAATTTTTCCCCCACCCAAAAAATATACAAAATGAACATATAATTGGGGTGGTAACTCCACTGGACATTCCAATTCACTCATCTGCTTGTCCCCAACATGGGTAAGGGGAACAGGCGTTAGGTTTTATTAGTTTTGTTATAGCAGTAACCCGATGTGTTAATGGCAGCTTATTTGCTTGCGGTACACTGATCCTCTGAACATGTGCCGGAAAGTATGGCTGTCAGTCTCTGACTGTCCACAACTGAGCACATTCAGCTACCATAGAAATTACAACGGAAGGAAAAATACATTTATTCCAAGATATACTGGGATTTTTAAGTGCCCTTTCTTCCACAGAGCCCCAGAGTGGTGACAAGGTGCTAGGGACTGCTGTGTCTTCCAGCATGAGCTTCCATCTGCTGAGGGTCCTGAGAAGGATAGTGGATTGGTCCTGGAGCCCTCATGAAAGGAGGGGGTGGTCCCATTGGGTGGAGCATGTGTGACCCAAAACCTGGTGGTGGGGGTGGGGTGATGCCAGGGGGTTGTGGCAGGGCAATGTTCACCACAGCTGGAGGACCACTTGGGGGCAAGTTGAAGTAGTTGGCAGAGGCTTCTTCTTCCGCAGGAGGAGGAGGAAGAGCTCCTGGTAATCCTGGAACCGGTTCCAGTTTGATCCCAGAGTCTGTGGTTCCATCTTTCTCTTTTTCTTTTCCTCTGGCTGTTTGGGATCTTCCCCATTTCACATTCAGTCTGCAGCCATTTACAATCAACTTATTAAAGGACTTCTTAGCAGCCACTTCTGCAGCCTGCCTCATGGCAAACTGGATGAAAGCACACTGCTGTCTTTGCACAACAGTGATCGTCCGGATCTCTCCGAACTGGTAGAAATGATTTCTTAAATCTGTCTCAGTAATAGTATCACCCAGACCACCAACATACAGTGTGGTGATAGTTTTATCCTCTGGTGGGTCCAGCCGAGGCATTGTTGAAGCCCGCTTTAGAAGCTTGTCAGCTACAGGATCATTGATTCTGTAGTATCGATCTTTAATATTCTGATCAGCAAGGGGGTCATCTGGATCTGTAGGCTTCTCATGTCTGTAAGGACATTCCTCTCCTCTCTTACACTCTCCTTCCACCCAGAAGGATCAAATGTGGGGTCGATTCCTTTTGTAGCAGGGTGTGGTCCGGGCCAGTTTGAGCAGCATGTCATTGGTAGATGTGGCTTTCCCCAGCATGCCAACTGGCCGTGTTCCATCAGAGTTAGAAATCTCTCTCTCCATATTCTGTGTGTAGTACTCTTTGTTGACATCTGACTTTGGCATGTCATCTTTAAAAGACAATCCTGCATCATGAACCTGGATGGGCAGGCCATACTCTAGGTCTAAGAGGCAGGTCTGACAGATACTCTTCAATTTACTGCAGGTCTGGCACACTTCAGTCTTTTTGAAACACATACGGACTCCAGGGAACCAGCGAAACACTGTGAACGGCCTGGCACAGATTTTGCATTCCTTCTCATACTTTTCTTTGGTTATTCGGATATATGGGTTTTCTCCAAGACATGTCTGGTACAGAATGGGGAAGTCCGCATCTTCCCAGTTCTGCCTGTTGTAGGTGTTAGAACCCAGAGAGGTCGTCATCTTGAGAGCGTCCAGAGGCAGCAGTAGCTTCTGAGTTGGGAGAGAGGATCACCACAATCCCTGGCAAATTTTAAAGAAAGCAAACTTTCCAAATTTCAGTAGATACTGTATTTTCAGCAGATACTACTACCAGCAACATGGACCAAAGGGATAAATTGAATAATTTTTTATGTTCATTTTCCTGGACTTCTCTGAACCCTGGACAAAAAAAAAAAAAAGAAAATGTCTTTGCTTGAAGCACTATTTTTGTCACTTAGCATCTGAAAATCTAGGTAGTCACCAGGTACTGTGAACCACTTTTGTATGTGTGTGTGTGTGTGTGTGTGTGTGTGTGTGTGTGTGTGTATCCAGAAGATTAATATCCCTCTAGCCACAAACAGGTTCTTCCTTTTCAAATCCTTGCAGAGGCCAAATTTCCAATACCCTAACATGGCTGGGGGTAGAGATTACTGACCAGTGAACAACTGTACTATTGATCCAAGGACTGCATTTTGGAGAAGAATGAAGCCAGGAAGAGCTGTGTGGACACATTGTGGGGTGCTGTCCTCTGTAGACAACCCTATACAGGAGGAATTGCTTTTCTGGTTTGAAGACCATTACTATTTCTGGTTTTCCAATTCCATTTCTGGGCAGCTTCTCTTCACTGCGTTGTCTGTCTTCAGGAAGCCCTAAATAAGTTATCCTCTAAATAAGTTCTTTAATTTTGTCTCTCTGTCTTGATTTGGAATTTCATGTTGAATAATTTATTTTCCCATGCCCTTTTTAATTAATTTGCTGGGCTAAATTAGTGCCAAACAAATAATGAGCTTACAAATTAGCTGACACCATAATGGAAAAGAGATTTAATTAATTTACTATCAGGGGTCTCTATAGACAATTGTATGTTTATAGCAGAAAATTATGGTATTTATTAATGTGGAAAGTTCTATTATTTTAACAGGCTTTTTAATGACCAGATTTTCATATGGAAATATCCTTATTTTCATCTATGTAAGCGGTGGGACTCAGGTCAAGCAAAGACCACACTGATATTTAGTAAATTTAATATCTTATGAAGTTATTTGATATCACTTTAATTAACATTAAAATAGTTCATAACTCTCTCAACTATAATTATTTAAGTACTCATGATCATCTTTATAATTTTAACCTACATATTACAGGCATAAACCTATACCAAAATCTCTAGTATCTGCTTTTAATTGAATCACAGTTTCTTCTTATAAAAGAAATTCTATAACTGGCTTCACTGTATGTTCAATGTCAATTTTTTTCCACTATTTCCCTAAGTAGATCCTTAATGTGCTACTTATTTCTATATAATCTTGGCTAGTAGAGACTGTACAATAATCGGGAACTGCTACTTGTCAAACATATAATTAGAAAAAAAAATACACCAAGAACACTGATTTCCTTCTACATATAATGTAGAAATTGTAGATATAATTACCTACCCTATGAAGTCCACTGCATTGTTTAGAAAATTAAGTAGATTACGGTTATGTAAACCATGAGGTTCCATAGAAAAAATTAAAAATGCATGTTTTTGAATATTTTATGTAGTAAAAATCTTATGCTATTATCATTTATATCTTTGTTAAATCTTAAAAACAATCATGTTAAGTATCTGAATGAGTAGTAAAATATCTGTAAAGTACTTGCAATAAAGTATATAAAGAATAGATATCTGTATCGGTAGTAATAAGAATAAATCATGAAAAATATTGAATCATCTTTCTTCTATTCAATTAACATATCCATTCCACCTTCTAAATTTCAGACAGGCTCCTCATTGAGCCAACTCTGACCAAACCATGCACTGAGAGGCGCCCAGAATGCAGTTCTCAGGGTTACTAAGTTGACAAAGCACAATCACCACAGCTAATCCAAAGGGTGAACAGAATGAAGTCTGTGAAATAATGGAGGGATGGAGGAATGCATACATCTTAAGATCAATGATTCAAATGGGTAACTAAGGAGGAAGGGGAAAGAGAATTTGTTTAGTTTTTCTAAGTTTGTGAAATAGAAATAGGTGAGCTGCAAGCAGCACAGTAAGTCATCACTTAACATTGTTGATAGGATATTAGAAACTAACTTTAAGTAGGGAGGATCCAAGACAGCCGAATAGGAACAGCTCTGGAGTGCAGTTCCCAGTGAGAACAATGCAGACGGTGAGTGATCACCACATTTCCAAACAAGTTTTCACTGCCCACAGACCAGGACATTCCTGGGCCAAAAAGTGCTACAAGTTTCCAGCATGGCTGTTGCAGGTGGCACAACAGGTTTCCACACAAAAACTCATACAAATCTGGGTGGCCATTTCAACTGGCACTTGAAACACGAGGGAGACAGAGCCACCTATTCAACTAAAAAAGAGAAGGCAGGGAGCCAGGTGATCTGGCTCAGCAAGTCCCACCCCCACAAAGACCAGCAATCTGGAATGCTCTAGATTGAGAGTTTGGCAGCAAGCGCACCTGGACACGGATGGTCCAGACTGGTGGAGGGAAGGGCATCTGCCATTACCGAGGCAGTCCACCACTACTGAGGCAGTCTGCCATTACTGAGGCAGTCTACTATTACCGAGAAAGTCCACCATTATGGAAGCAGTCCATCATTACAGAGGCAATCTGCCATTACTGAGGCAGTCTGCCATTACCAAGGTAGTGCCATTACTGAGGCAGACTACCATTACTGAGGCAGTTCTAATTGTACCTCTGTAAACATAACTACAAGGAAGTTTACACAGCAGCTGGGCAGAGCCCACAGCAGCTCAGCGACGCTTCTGCTGGCAGACCGTGACTAGACTACCTCCTTGCTGGGCAGGACATCTCTGAAAAAAGGCAGCAGCATGTCAGGAACTTATATATAAAGCCCCATCTTCCCAGGACAGAGCACCTGAGGAAAGAGGCGGTTATGAGTTCTGCAGCAGCAGACTTAAACGTACCTGCCAAGCAGCTCTGAAAAGAAAAACAGAGTTCCCAGCACAGCACTTGAGCTCCTATAAAGGACAGATTGTCTCCTCAAGCAGCTCCCCGATCCCTGTATTTCCAAAGAAACACCTCATAAAGGAGAGCACAGGCTGACATCTGGTGGGTACCTTCCTGGGATGAACATAACAGAAGAAGAAACAGGCAGCAACCCTTACTGTTATGTAGCCCCCACAGGTGATCACCAGGCAAGTAGGGTCTGGTGTGGACCTCCAGCAGTCCTGCAGCAGTGGGGCCTGACTGTTAGAAGAAAAACTAAAAAACAGAAAGAAATGCTTCAACATCAACAGAAATGACATCCACTCAGAGACCCCATCCAAAAGTCACCAACTACAAAGACCATAGGTAGATAAATCCACGAAGATGGGAAGAAACCAGTTCAAAAAAATTGAAAATACCAAAAACCAGAATGCCTCTCCTCTTCCAAGGGATTACAACTCCTCACCAGCAAGGGAACAAAGCTGGATGGAGAATGAGTCTGATAAACTGATAGAAAAGGGGTTTAGAAAGTAGTTAATAACAAACTTCTCTGAGCCAAAAGAACATGTTCTAACCCAATGTGAAGAAATTAAGAACTCTGAAAAAAAGGTTAAATGAAATGCTAACTAGAATAAACAGCTTAGAGAAGAATATAAATGACTTGATGAAGCTGAAAAACACAACATAATAACTTTGCGAAGCATACAGAAGTTTCAAAAGCCAAACTGACCAAGCAGAAAAAAAGATATCAGAAATTGAAGATCAACTCAATGAAATAAAATGAGAGGGCAAGATTAAAGAAAAAAGAGTGAAAAGAAATAAACAAAACCTCCAAGAAATATGAGATTATGTCAAAAGACCTAATCTATATTTGATCAGTGTACCTGAATGTAACAGGGAGAATGAATCCAAGCTGGAAAACTCTATAGAGGATACTATTCAGAAGAACTTCCCCAACCTAGCAAGACATGCCAAAACTCAATTCCAGAAAATATAGAGACCTCTATAAAGATATTCCTCAGGAGCAACCCCAAGGCACATAATCGTCAGATTCACCTGGGTTGAAATGAAGGCAAAAATGCTAAGGGCAGACAGAAAGAAAGGTTGTGTTACCCAAAAAGGGAAGCCCATCAGACTGACAGTGGATCTCTCAGAAGAAACCCTACAAGACAGAAGAGAGTGGGGCCCAATATTCAACATCCTTAACGAAAAGAACTTTCAACCTAGAATTTCATATCCAGCCAAACTAAGCTTCATAAGTGAAAGAGAAATAAAATCCTTTATGGACAGGCAATTGCAGAGAGATTTCATCACCGCCAGCTTGCCTTACAAGAGCTAGAGGAGCAAGACCAAAAAAACTCAAAAGCTAGCAGAAGACAAGAAATAACTAACATCAGAGCAGAAATGAAGAAGATAGAGACATAAAAAAACCCTTCAAAAAATCAATAAACACAGGAACTAGTTTTTTGAAAAGATAAATAGACCACTAGCCAGATTAATAAAAAAAGAAAAGAGAGAAGAATCAAATAGACACAATAAAATATGATAAAGAAGATAGCACCATCGATTCAACAGAAATACAATCTACCATCAGAGATTACTACAAACAAATCTATGCACATACAAGTCAACCTGGAAGAAATGGATAAATTCCTGGACACTTGCCTCCTCCCAAGAAGTTGAAACACTGAATAGACCAATAACAAGGACTGAAATTGAGGCAGCAATTAGTCACTTACCAACCACAAAAAGTCCAGGCCCAGATGTGTTCACAGCTGAATTCTACCAGATGTACCAAGAGGAGCTGGTACCAGTCCTTCTGAAACTATTCCAAACAATCTAAAATGAGAAAATTCTTCCCAAATCATTTTATGAGACCAACATTATCCTGATATGAAAATCCGGCAGAGACTCAACAAAAAAAGAAAACTTAAATCCAATATCCATGATGAACACAGATGCAAAAATCTTCAATAAAATACTGGCAATCTGACTACAACAGCACATCAAAAAGCTTATCCATCATGATCAAGTAGGCTT